CATCTTAAGACACCCAGCGCAGACAGGCTGACGGCAGGCTTGATTACACCCAATGGGATGAGAGGCCGTTGATACGAAGACAAGCTGTTGATTACTAAACAAGTGGGAAGATCTTCACGGTTTGGCAAGCAAGGCCGGCTAGATTACTAGAGTCTGTGAAGAAACTGTAGATGCTGCTGATTGGCCAGTGAAGGACCCATTGAGCAGTTTTGTAGTCGAGTCCGTCAGATGTCCTCACAAGTCTTCACAAGTACATTATCACAAGTCCGTCAGTCTCAAGTTGAGAAACCAGCGATTCAAATGGTCAACATGTACGATAAGAGCATTCCTTTGTTGTTGTTGATCCCATGGTACATGTTCTTGTGATGACCTGTGTTGACCTTGTGACGGACTGGGCTACAACAGTAGCGTTAAGTGCGCACAGGGTTTTCACACGCATTGGTTTAGGTGTCCACATGCTACTGAATTAAAAAATACGTGAACTCTTGCAGTACGCTCATGCTGGGTGTCCTGTATTCAAGAATGATCCAGTTGTAATGGACACATGGGAGTCAGGTTGGCACAGTACATGGTCACTTTCCTCGCCTTGCACCTCCATAGCCCGAGTTCGATTCCTGCCCTGGTCCAGATGTGGATTGGGTTTTCAGTCCCTACATTTACCTCACACCGTGGGTTTACCCCAGAATATCCTTCTGGGGAAAATGTTGCAACCTGACGCCACTTTTTTCTTCATACATATCATCTTAATGGAGGTCAGTCATTGCAAAAATGATGATAAAACATGAATCTGGGACTGAGAAACATTTCCAATTTTGTTAGGAAATACTTCAAACATTTCTTGACTCTCCATAGACTTTGTACACAACCGCTGAAGTGGCGTCAGGTTGCAACACTTTTTTTCCCGGTAATTTCTTCTCATTTCTGTCTCACTACAGGTTTCTTCAGATTTGCAAGCTACAGTGCCTAGGGCACTTTTGAGGAAGCCTTCTTTTCATAACCTGAAATAACATAATAATAATAATATTTTTTATCTGCTATAAATGATCGTAAGAAATCAAGACTTTCAAGCACTTTAAAGAAATATGTGATGTGATCAAGCTACATGAGTTGCTTGTCGGGAATTTTCATTTGGAGATACAGGCTAAAATAGGGCCACTTCATCACATCACTTCATCACATTTCTTGGTGTTCCGACTTCCATAATTTTTTAACTAAAGATGGTATCAGGATGCATTTTTCACAGCAGTAATGTTGAGATTTTGCTCTTTTCAAATCTGTAATAAACCAAATTTTGACCGGGGCCGAGAAACGACTCATTTAGCTTGATCGCATCACATGTCAGTGCTTATCTTTCTGCACTTTTTACCATACACGATTCATATGGAATTCCTATACACATAGCTTGTGCACCAGACATAATTATGGCACAGGTAAATTAATTATTTATTCATCCATTTACCCGTCCACCTGAGGCCCACCGTGAGAGGAGTTGTTCCTCACAGGATTTGATTAATTCTAATGAGATACTGACCCCCATGGTGTCTTGATCACAACCGGAGCAGGCCTGTCGACCAGAAACTGTCGGATTATGGGACACAGGTGTGGTGCAGCGACACTCACATGCTTCATTTGTCTTTGTTAGATGCGAGAGTTAGCTAAGTAACAAGTGTCAACTGTTAACATTTTGGCAATAAAGTGGTAACAATTTGAATATCTTAAACCGAATAATATACTGCAAATTGGCATCAACAACCTATCAGGTCAAAGGTACTGCTGCAACCCTTATTTTACTGAATAAACTATTTACGCACATTATGACCCTTTTTTTTTTTTTTTTTTTTTAATGGATAAACATCACAAAATTAGCGATGTCCACTTTGGACACACAGAGCCACATCCTACGCACATGAACAGGAGTAATAAATAGCATGACACAGAAAATACAACAATGAGAAAAAAGAAAGTGCAAAATTAACATAATACCAAATACTTAAAGTAGTGCTACAGGGACATGTATAGTATAACTTCAATAGATAAATTACAAAGTAAATTACATAGTCTGATGGGTCAGGTGGCGGTGAGCTTTCTGACAGAACTTCCTTGTTTCCACTGTGGTGAGGATGGCCGACTATTTCTTCTGGCAGATTGTTCCACACAGGGATGATGGCAGGCAGTGTTCTTTCAGCAAAAACGAATGTGTGTGAATTGTTTTCGTTTTGCTGAAGGAAGGCACACCTTTTTTGTGATCCGTGGACAGAACTTTAAAACGGTTGTTGTGTTTAAAACTCCATAACTTGAAGAGTACTTGAGTGATTTGAATGATTCGTGTACTAAAAAGAAAGCTTATGAATTCGGCTTTCATATCCTAGTTTTTGAAAGTGCTACATGCAGAACTTCACTAAAACAATGGTCCCGACATTTGGGTTTCGTTTTTTTTTTTACTCACCCTGTAGTGAACATCATGTGCTTCTAAGAAGTCTTAAGTGCCTCTTTAATTATGTTTTTGGTTCCATAATTTCCGTGATTGGACTTGATGGACCCCTGATGGAATGACCTTCTCCTGAAAGCAACAATTAGGCTATCTTGTGGAGGAGCGGAAATTATATTGCAATCACTTTACCTTGGCTAAAAGCATTTTCTTAATCACGGAGGGAAACGCGATCGTAAATGGGCGATCAGAATCACTTCATTATTAAAATATTGTGACTAATGCAAGTGGCAATGATGCTTGGCATCTCATTAAATATACAATGTGTGCTGCAGTATTGATGCATATAAGGGTATAATAGTCAGGCATGCAACTTTTCCTCGGATCAGCTGATTTCCTCTTTTTTTACTTCCCATGTGTGCCATTGAAAATAGAAAAACACTGTACAAAGTCTGGGAAAAATGTGAATTTCCTCTTTTTTTGTGATTTCCCAGTTGCATGCCTTAATAGTATTAGACTATTGAGGTGAAGAAACCAAAGTTTGGGCACACTACAAAAACTTGTTTTCAAGTAAGGGCTTTTATACAGACTTACTGAAGTCCATGAGCGACCTATCAGCACGAAAGTCACAAACTGCCATTTGTGGAACAGTGGGACCAATCCAAAAGTCGAAGGTAGTCTTTTCAAATTAATCCTCCTCTACCTTTCCCCACATTTAAGTTTGGTCAAACAATAACCGTATTCTTTAACCTATTTCATACGTTGCCTGTCTCATGACCACTACAATTCCCCCCACCAAAATAAGCCAAAGCCTCAAGGTGTGCTTCCGTTCGTCACCCTCAGGCCTCCAAATACCTGTCCAAATCTGTGTAACATACCATTTTAGAAGCTTTTGCCCAGCAGAGTCCTGAAGTAAAAAATCTTGGTTCTGAAAAATATAATGCTCATTTTTTTTATGACATGCCACATATAGTACAATGTAATAACCTTTAAGATTAGGAGAAAAAAAAAATTTGCTTCCGGTTTCCCTACCTACTCTATTCTGACAGCCCCTACCCTATTTTTTTTATTGGAAAAATGAGAAAATAACACCCAAAAACCATCAATTTCTACCTTTTACCCTTGACTACACGCAGAAGCCTCTTAATGATTATACACACAAACAATTTGCAAAAATAAAAAAAAAAAATCCCTACCTACCTACCCTATTTTCAAATGCCATGTAATCGGAAGCAGAACTATCTATTTTTTTTTGGCCTTAACATTCTATACACTTTGTCGAGTTGAAATTCCATACTGATGAATACTGACGTGCTAGTCCACAAGGAAGCCTGTGTAGCCACATTACCATCTTCATCAAGGTGTTCCTTGATGGTACACTCAATGATGCGCTGCCCAACAACCTCAGTCTCACAAGTCCCACTCCCAGAAGTTCCCACCTCTTGACAACTCAGGTAGCGCATCTGACGTCACGATGGATGAATTAACCCTCTTGGTCAGACTCAGATGGTTGGTGTTGGACACTGTCTGCAAACGATACCCTCTTACAAACGATACCCTCTTACGTTTGGGATTGACAGTTACTGGACAGTTAGTGCAGTGCAGGGGAGTGTGGATCGAAAGCATTTGGATTTTCGGGTGCAGCATTTCTTCCACGGTCAGTTCCATGGACAGCTTGCCTCTTACGTTTGGGATTGACAGTTACTGGATCCATAGGATCAAGCTCTTCGGGTTCTTTTTTCAGGTTTTCAAGTACCCAGCTAGTATGTCCAGAGACCCTCGATGAGCTCCCCTGAAATGCTTCTCCATGACATGCTTCCTGGTGAATGTCTTGGAGCGCTGCGGGCATTTCAGTATTTTCTCAACTGAGCCTAGGCGGCATAGAAACTAGAAAGGCGTTAAAGAAATTCAAGACATTTATTAACCCTCCAATGCAAACATGCATTCTGAGCCATGCTGTTACTTAGGTCCAAATTGGTCAAGTGACCATTGGTGTGTTAAAAGTATACCAGGGGAAGTGGAAGGAAACTTTGACATGGTTGTGACCTTTTAAACAGCAGGGGGGTTTAAAGTGGGAAGGGTATTGCGAATTTGGTGATACATGTAGTTCGAAAGATCATTAAAAAGTACCAAAGTGCACACAACTACACCTGAGAAGTTTTCAGTTTGCGTGAATTTCGGGCTGCAAATTGTTTTGGTCCTCAAACAACGAGACGTTGGTGTGTGCTTGACTTGATTCCAGTCACACATTTGTATTTTCGGAAGCGTTGCTTCAAACACATGCTGTCATTGTTGTAGAACCTAATATTTCATTTTGTTGCAGGGTCTAGTTGGATAAATTTCAAATGCATTTTTGATGTTATGAATCGCACAATATGTAAATATTTTTGGTTACAATTTAGGTATGTTCAAGTACATCTCAGTTTTAACGAATCAGCATCACATCATTTTTTGTAGTTGCCGACAAAAGTCCCGTTGAAAGAGTTGGAGGTTTTTGTATCTGCTTTTGAAATATTGAATAACATTTTTTTTCATTAACATTACATTATTGTTTTCTTACATTTTCAAAAAGACTTCTTTGTGACTCTGCGAACTGTGTCGTCACTGTCCTGCTTTGGAGGCACTCTTAGTAACAATGGTACGGGCATGTTGTAGCTGGTCGTAGCATGTTGTGAATGCTTAAATGTTGTCCTTGTCAGGATAGATTTTTGCTTTTTGCTGAAATTATTTTATTAATTGTGACATTGCATTACCAGATTAATTGATTTAAAAATTATTTGATTTATAAAAAGTCTGTGACTGGAATAGCAAAGCAAAATAAATGTTGTACATGTATGTGAAATGCAAATAGATATAATAAATATTATGCTGTGTGATTACAGTGGTAGTAATCTTAGCTCATTCATTGAACGTCTGTCCTAGATGATTGTTTTTATTTCATCTGTTCACATTAATTACTTGTGTTTTGAAAAGTTGTTAATTTCATGCCAGATATATTCTTTTTTAGATACGCCATTCCTTTTGTACACTTTCTGTCCCAGTTATCCATTTTTTTGTACTCAATCTAGCCCAACTTGATCAGTCTGCATTTATGACTAGTTTAATTGTTTTACATGTTTTTTGGTGGTAGATTTTACCACAGGTACTTCTTGTTATCACAGTGTGATTAATGTGGTTGTTGCAGCTTGCAAACGTGACTTTAGTAGTAACCAGTGTACTTTTATCTGCATGAAGTTCAATATGAATGCATATTTATTTGTCTGACCCCTCTGTTTTTCCACAGTATTTTTTTTGTTTTTATTTTTAACCTAAACCATCCCAACTCTTTCAAAATCAAAGTTCCCCATTTTGGGGAATTTGGTAGGTAAGCCGTGAGTACCAAATCCATCAAAATCCACCTATAGTAGAGGTGGTTTTGTCGTGGAAATCAGCGGATTTGATCCTAAAGCATTATGTGAAGCAGGGTCGGTGATGGGTTTTGGCGGACTCGGTCCAGCACTTAGTAAAAGACATGTGGGAGTTAGGGTTAAAGCATCCATTGGTTCCTTAAAAGCATTTTGGAGCCCTAATCTCCCAAATGCTCCTAAATTCAACACCTTTTCCCGATGATTTTAAAGGATTGAATCGGATAGTAGAAATCATCACTTTCCTCAAATCTTGATGTTCCAAGAACAACAATATGCGCCATCGCCTGCACGATGTGGTACATGCATATGAGAGATTAATAATAGTTCCTGTCACAAAAATGCCTCATGAGTTTTGAACTCAATAATCAGTAATCAAATTCAATTGTTTTTACCTATCTGTGTGAAATATGGGCTCTCCTGTGCTCTGTGCCCTGAACTCCAAAAGAAAAAGAATTCTAGAAAGTACACAAAATTTACAAAAATATTACAACAAATTGCAAGACACATCCTTGTATTCTGGATATTCGGTGCTATGTGGAGCAGCTGTACTTGTCCAGCTAAAGACAGTTTATAATTGTGAACCATGTTCACTCTATACATGCCATAGCTGATGTGGCACCAAGAACTCCGGAGCCGACGTTAGAAATCGATCATACTTACCAAGCCTATATGCAGAATATATCTGTAATAGTACCCGTGGCTTGCTCTCAAGAAACAGGCTTGGGCTGGGAAGGTTGATTAGATGTGTACCATTGAGTGTTCATTACAAGACGAATAAAAGACGGGGAAATTAGCACAGAGGGTCAGTTGCTGCTCTACATTTCCAGCTGCCTTTTAGGGAGTAGGAAAAAAGAAATATCGGAGAGCTCAAGAAACCTTATTCTGTCCTTCCCACAAAGTAACTCACATTGAAAATTAATGTCAAGGCTGAATGAGATCCACACTTTACATATTTAGATATTAAAAATAAAGAATATGGAGAAATGTTGTTGAATTCGGGCGATTTACAATGCAGTGCGCCACCAAGAGTTTACCATGGAGAGTCCCTTTTTCAAGTCTACGGTCGACAAAACATGGCCCATTTGAATGAGTGTTAGTAGACAACTTGAGCTAATAGGGTCAAAGCGTTCTGCCGCCTTACAAAAAACACCATTAATAAAAAAGAAAAGAAAAGAGCAAACATACACGAATCATACGCTTACGAAACTACTGACCGAAAATAACTAACAATTTCTGCGAATTTGTCTACCATCTCCCACAGCGCACTGGGAAAAATGAAATCTCCGTGGCAAACTCTTGGTGGCGTACTGCATTGTGAATTGCCCAAATTGAATGCACTGTTCCTTTAGCCAATCTGTGTATTGTGTGCGTGTGAATGGTGTAAATTGAGGACACACACATGCAACATCATCAATGAATTGAGGACAGGAACCAAATCGAGGACGACCTCGATTAGAAAACTCGTACAAACCAATGAGAGCTGTTGCAAAAAAGTTAGAGTGCAAACAAAGGAAAGGGAAGAAGAACAAAAGGAAATCCTCGATTTACATGTACACCATAAACAAATGTGCTAATGTGTATGCTGCCTGAATGTTGTTAAAGTATATGGGTAACTCCATGAAGTTCGGGCAAAAAGTGTGACATTGGGTCAAAGTTCCCAAATGTTGATCTGAATATTGTTTTTGATAGCTCAACTACTATATTTTTAGGAAATAGTATGCTTTTTCCCCAAAACATAAAACTGAATTTGTGGTTGATCTTTACATTCATGATGGGAAATTCAAAACACCTATGCTACATGGACACCAAATCTAAACAATTGCTCTGAACATTTTTTAATGGGTTAGGTTATTTGTCAGATTTCTTGTTGTTTAAGATTAACTTTTAGGGTATAATTAAAGGAAAAAACAAATGGTTCAGCAGATGCTCAAAAAAAGTTGATACAACCCATTGTAAATTGAGGCTTTTTGTGTAATTTTGACAAAATTGTGCTTGTTTGGAAAAAGTAACCAAATCAGCTAGAAGAGATCTAAAATAGCATTTATGAGTAAAAGTTTGACTTAAATGACACAGTCAGTGAACCACCTTTCTAAAATGATGTTCAAAATGTATGCCTTTGCTCGTCGTGCTGAGAAATATGGCTGACAATGTGTCAATTTTAGCTATGCTACATGGACACCTTGTCCTGTAGCATAGGTAGAAAACAGCACAATTTATCCAGTAATTAACTGAAAATTAAGCAAAAAATGGCTAAATCATGTTTTATGGCAGTGGACATGCAAACCGAATACAGAAGCTGAATTTTGGATACATAATTTGGATGTATGTATGAATTATAGAGTGTGGAACAATACCTATGCTACATGGACACCGTGTCCTATTTATCAATTTTCACTTTAGAGGAGCAAACCCTTATGTAAAATAGAGTTCATCTGTATCTGATTGTTATTAATTTATTGTAATTAACCACTCTCTTGGTTCTAACATTAAAAAAATAATTTGTCTACAATCATAGCTTCACAACTAAAGGAATACTCTCTTACCTATGCTACATTTTCTACCTATGCTACATCTGGACACCACGCTACATTTTGAAACATAAATCTTCATTGCTGAAGAACAATTTTGCAAAGCATGTTTTATTTTGAATATCCATCCAATTACTATTTTTACCAAAGGTTAAGATGTGTCAGTATGTGTGGAGGTATTTCAGCTTGAGGGGTTTCTTTAGTTTGAAAATACCGATGCTACATGGACACCATTTCAAAAAATGATACTTTTTCTTCTTGCATCTTATAAACAGCAGCAAGTTTGGAGAATTCAACTTTTTAAAAACTCAACTTGGAGTGAGTTGAACATAATAAAATCAAAATCTTTCAGATACAGTGTACTGTATGGAGATAGCATGCCTTAGTACCTATGCTACAGGACACAAAAAGTGCGGACACCAAATGTAGCATAGGTAACAGAATTTTCACATGCATGTAATATCAACACGAGCAGCTTTTGTACAATTTTATGCATAGATATGGGTGAATATGACTGTAATCTAATAGTAAATTACTTAAGAGGATTGATCAGTGGGCATTTTTGCAACAAAACAACAACAATAAAAACACATGTTTCTGTTAATTTAAATGTCACACTTTTTACTGACATTTTTAGTGGTTTTTGCACACATTTTGCCCAATAAAAATTATTTGGGGGCAGATACAGTCCTAGTTTGATTTTATTTTTAAAAGTAACATCATATCCTTTGAGGAAAATGTTACTTTGAAGGATTTGAAAGATTAAATTTTTTACAAATTGATAACAAAGAGAGTAATTTCGGCATTATCAGCTATTATTCCAACTTCATGGAGTAACCCATATGTATTTAGTCTTACATCCTCCTTCAAACATGACGTTTGTTTGTTTGTTTTTTTCTTTCAAACCTTTTTGTTTCACAGGAAATTTTGTGGACTGTGTTCTTGCTATCAGTTGCATTGGTCATTCTTGTCAACCTCATTATTTGAAAAACAATCTCTGCATGTGTATTAGTTGTGTCTAAAATGTACAAACATATAGTGTATAACCATATGGTGAAGTCTGTGAACAGGCAGAAACAAGTAAGATATGACTGAGCAAAGCATAATATTTCTTAGTTGAATGTGAATGTGACTTGATACATTTCCAAATCATATTTAACAAAAACATTGCACCATCCCTGCTCGTGAATAATGCATATTTTCATCTCTTTTGGATACAAACAGTAAATGATGCTTTTTGTGATCATTTCAAAAGCCCCAGTGTGAGAGAAACACCCTGTTTATGGCATGAAGTATGCTCAGTAACTTAATTTTATTCTGAACGTCGACAAACCCGCGGCATCTTCGCGGGTGTGAGTCGACAGTTGAGAGGGAAGGTGTGCGCGGAGTCCAATTGAGCATCTTTGGAGATTCATAGAAATGCTCAATAAGTAAATACATCCTGATGTTTGTCTCAACATTTTTTTAAATTGAAAAGTTGAACAAAGAAATTGACTGGAGCAGGGCTTGAACCTGCGACCTCCGGATAACCGTTCCGGTGCTCTACCAACTGAGCCATCCAGCCCTATGTTGGCAGTTCCCCAATTAGTCAAAACTTTGTTCAAGGGGCGCTAGTCAGAAGCCATAAACCAGTTTGACATACAGCCGGGGATCACGCCCAAAGTCACGATACAGACCTGGAAAATAGCAAACGGGGATCACTCGGAGAGGATATGGCTTTTTATTACAAGCACCGGAACGGTTATCCGGAGGCCGCAGGTTCAATTTCTCCAGTCAATTTCTTTGTTCAACTTTTCAATTGTTATATATGTTTTGTAAGTTGACTGAAAATATTTTGGTTGTGTGTTGGTGTAGATGAGTATGAGGAGCTGCGCTACACTAACTGCAACTGCAGCAACAACATGAACCTACAGCCCATCCAGGTCAAACTGCTGTGTGGTGCGGACCTACTTGAGTCCTTCGCTGTACCAGGACTTTGGAAAGAAGAAGATGTGAGATAGGGTTTTGACAGATGATATTAGGAATTGGGGATCCTAATTGATCAGATTAGGCCTGGGTGTGCACAGACATGTTTACGTTGCATACGTACCGGTAGTGTGGACATTCCTTTGTTTTCGTGTAGTTAAGAAAAACCTGTGAAAAAAACTCATTTTACTCACACTGTGAAAACTTTTTCAACCCTTTTTTTCCCTCTGATTCCCTTTAGTGTTTCTCTTCATTTTGCCACGGAAAAACCTAACCAAAAAAATGCCTCTAAACCTGTTTTCCAGAGAGGGGGAAACACTGTGTGGACGTGGGCAAGTCCACACAATGTCACTGCTACCTTGTTTATGTGGACCTCGTTTGTTAGGAAGTCCACATAGTGAACGTAATGCTTGTACAGTTCTACATTGGGTTTAAAAAAAACCCACACACACACACACCCAGTCGTTTTTTGCTATGCTTCCGAGGATTGGCTTTGTGTTTTCCTTTGTCCCTGTAATATAACACTCTCCCATAGACTAAGCACACAAACCTGCGTTCGAGGACAATAGGCACCTTCCTTCGAGGATCAATGGCCCCTTTGTGCTCCTTTTGTTGTCTGTCCTCAGGCGTAATGCCATGCAGGAACACCAAATTTGTTTTTTTGACAAAATAATTGTTGCCCTTTTTTCACAATTTGTTAAAATGAAGCAAAACTCTTCCCAAACTATCACAACTTTTTTTAAACCACAGATATAAAATTTTGAAAATTTGTTTTATTCCACATTTACAATCCTTTACTTCATTTTATTTAATTTGGTGTATGTAACACAATTTGAATGAATTTGAATGAATCGCCAACATTTTCCAAAACTGGTTTTACAAGGTTTACACAGTTTTTCTGACGGACGCTAAGCATCATCTGAGCAGATTAAGAGTAAGTTATAACTGATACATATTTGACATGCAAACATCTTCCTTTTTATTGACATTTTAAACTTAACAAACTTTTTTTTCCTTGTCCTTTTCCCAAAGATGCTGGATATAGTGAAGAAATACGGCCTGGTGGTCATCAGCCGGTCAGACTCCAACCCACACAAGTTTATCTATGAATCGGATCTACTATTCAAGCACCAAGTAAGCAAAATCATGAGTAGATGAGATATATATCTGAGCCAGACTCGCTAGCTGCAGATAGCAGCTCTACAAGTACTCACATCTCTCCGTTAGTTCGTAGGTTAGTTAGTTAGTAACAAACATTGGAATGCGCACCTGCGCACTATAACTCACCTTAGCCAGCTCTTGCTTGAGGCACTGTGTCAGTTTTATGGCCCTCAGGGGAGGGCAGACAGACTTGCATTATCGAGGTCAAGTTTGCCTTGTGACGTTCAACGAATGGGAAATTCTTTATTTCAATGCCAGAGACATGTACATGTAAGAGCGCCATCTATTTCATACAGACTGGGCAGAAGGTACACATGTACGAACACAAACTCATTGGCCCGCAGCTTCCAAGATCATCTTCCAAGATCATTTTGAGCTTGTTTTTTTTCAAACAGTTGAACAGAAGATCGCACACCTAAATTGCTCTTTTATGGAGGCTGGATAGCTGGCATCTTAAAATGTTGAAATAAAGCTCTTATCTAAAAGCTCAATCCAGTAGTCTTGCCAAGCTTTCGCTGGGACTACAACTTATTAGGGCAGTAAAATGGCGCCCCCTGGAGTCGTGATAACGGAATTCAATGGGAGACGACGGCGCATGCGCAGACCAGATTGCAATTGCTTTTGAGCAGATCAGGAGAACTATTGAAAACCTGGTCAAAGAGTTTGAAATTGGGCAAAAATGTCAGGGATTCGCAGCTCGCTGTCCCTGAGCCAGATGGCTAAAGTGGTGATAATGACAAAGAACGACAGGGTACCGATGGTGACTCCAAAAAGAATGGGAAAATGGATGGAAATTCCCAAATGAATGCGAGCTTACCCAGCAAAGAGCAAACCAGTCTTCATGCGTGTAAAGTTCCATGTGCCACAAAAATCCAGCCACAGACGACTGATTTTATCTCCGTTTTATTTTAGCCTGGTATTGATCGAAGATAAGTGAAGGTTAGAGTTTTATTTCTTAATTTGACCTTCCGTCATAAAGCAATCAGGGGCACAAGTGGACAGCTCATTTGACCATCTGCTTCCGGCAACCTCATTCATGCACAAGGTCCACTTGTGATCACTTCAATCTCACAATTACACCTTACCTTGCTTTCACAAAGTTCTCAAACCGATTGTTTCTCTTTGTCTCGTTATTTTTGCAGAGCAACATCGACATTGTGACAGAGTGGATTTTCAATGACATTAGCTCGACTAAAATCAGGTAAAACTTTTCTCTGACATACTCAAGAGACCTGCCCTTTGTAAATGACCCTTTCTAATGACTGTGAGACATTGAGGGCCAAAGTAAGGTTGTGTCAGGCCCTTGGCCCAAGGCTTGTGGGATTCTTTGTGCTACTCGAAAGTATCGCATGGAGTGGAAATGAGTAAATGAGTACTAGAAAATAAGTCTCATATTTTGGGGTCAGATTGCAGGAATCATTTTCTGCTTATACATCGGTGAAGGGCAAAACCTTATATTGATTAGCATCACCCCGACGCAAATTCCTTCTTATGAATAGTTAAATTGCAGTACCCGCTGCTACTATACATCAGATTCGAACCAGCCAACCGATCCCGCAAGCTCGGTGGTCGAGTGGTAAGACGTCTGCACTATAAAGTAGGAGGTCCTGGGTTCGAGTCCCACCCGAGTGGTTTTTTTAATCAAACTTTTCACTCGGGAGGTTACACACTGAGTATACAGCATTCATACATCGGTGAAGGGCAAAACCTTATATCGATTAACATCACCCCGACACAAATTCCATCTTAAGAATAACCTTTTTCCTGGCTTTTGTTTAAAATGAAGTACACTTTTCAAGGGAGGTTCCTAAATACGGCAGGCCGTTGGCCTTGCCCCGGAGGCATTTCCACTAATCAGTTACTAGTGATATGGCCTTACAACATTTCTTTAATAGCACTCTGCACTAATGTTAAAAATAGAAGCAAGTACCTGGATCTCGGACAAGCATGCTGTACAAACTTCTCGTTTGAAGATTACGCGCACCCTTGCAACACCGTTTCTATGCGAATGTATGCGGCCAGATGTGCATGCATGTGCGCGCGTGATTGTTCGAAAGTTTGTCTGACATCCGGGGTATGTGCGTGTACGGCGCAGAGCAAAAGTGACGTCATTAGTGCAGAGTGCTATTTATTCTATTGATTGTGTCGGTAAATTTGACGAGACAAATTTTATGGTTTTGATTATCTCTGGTGCAGGCGAGCTCTGCGGCGGAAGGAGAGCATCAAATACATCGTTCCTGACCCAGTCATCAAGTACATCGGAGACAACAAGCTATACGAGATGGAGGAAACCACCACGGAGAAGAACTAACCAAAAAGAAATCAGCTATACAAACAAAAAAGTATTTAAGAAAAATGTTAACAAGATGCAAATGTTACTTGATCTAAAAAAAATGTCCCAAACTGCCATGTCTGTTACTCCCAAAATCGCCAGAAACAGCCGCAGCACTGTATGGTGTTATGGATACATCAGGGAATTATTACAATGTAATACAATGTAATACAATGTAATACAATATTTTGTGTGCACAAAATATTGCATTCATCAGCAGTTATTGCAGAGCTGTAAACTGAAAATGTTAACAAAAATGTACTCCATAAAAAAAAAATGTGTGTCCATACTGTAGTTTATCCCCTGTGAAAACTTTCACTTCCTACCCTTGTACCGGTACATGTAGCTGTACTGTTGTCTTAGTATACAAGCCTTACCCCATTCCAAGTAATTAACTATTCATAAGATACATTTTCTGTTTTTCCCCTACGATTTTTTTTGAATTGTTAAATAGGCAACTGGCAAAGCTCTTCCAACTTTTGTTCCTGTGTAATGTATATTATACAGGGTGGTTCAAAATAAAGAAAATTCACTTTTGAGAACAATTTTCACCTATTTTTAAAAATTATTTTAAATTTTGATAAGTACCTATTAAAGTACTGGCCTTTAGGCATAGGTGACAAAAAAATCATTGCAATTGCATGTTTTGTCTCTGAGCTATTGTAGTTTGAACATTTCATGTGCGAAACATGTTTGTCCACGGAGGTATACTTTCCATCCACTTGAATGAGCTCGGCTATCGGAGCTTGATTTTAAGACAAAATATTAGCACACTTCAAACAAGGATTGTTAGTTCTACTTAGTAACAACCGTGACGTTTGATTGTTATGTAATGTAATGCAACAATGAACTTAAGCCTACAGCTCCTTGGGTAGATGATCTTAACACTGGCATGAATAATCGGACAGCCTCAACAAAAGTTCCCAGGTCAAAACAATTTTGTTGGCAAGATTTCTAATTTTTGTGAACTACAGAAATGTCCAATTTACTTAGACTAGTATGTGGACAAGACTGATTTTGGTGACTTGTATTCAAATTGCATGTTGCCTAATATTCACAATTCTTGTGACTTTTATTGAGTTTTTTTTTCACCATGCATGGTTAAAGGGCTATACTTTACTACTATGTGAAGAAACAATTGAAATAAGTTAACTAAGTAGGTGAAAATTGCTGTCAAAAAAGTGGATTTCCTTTATTTTGCACCACCCTGTATGTTTAGTTCTTAACTTTTTGGGGGGAAGATGTTGAGAGATGAACTTTAATTGAGGAGAAACGTTGTACAAGTTTTGAAATGTTTTGGGATAAATGATATAACGATTTTTGACAAATAGTTCGGATTGTGCATCTTTCATTTGATGTGACTACAATACCATAGGATCTCTGTACCAAAGAACATCAGTGTTAACAGTGCTTAGAACGTCAATCAGAGGCGAACCAATGCAATGTACATGTGTATTACTTTAAAAAGTTTGAAGAATGATTTTTTTTTTAACAGTCTTTCTGTTGGCGTATTTTGCAGTATTTGAAGAATGTATCTTTCTAGGTATTTAAATTTATATTTGAGAAATAGATCTTTTTTCCCCTCACAATTTTAATATGCATTTGCAAGATTTAATGACTTATATAGAGGAAAAAGTGGGATTTAAAGCAAGCATATACATTTATCATTAATCTTAATCTGGAGATTCAAGCTATGACGGAAACGAAACTGATCACCATGGGTCTGACGACCCCAATGTCTTCAAAACAGAAGCCTGCCAGGAGTATTCCAATTTCATTAATAATATCGGTTTCATTAATACTGCACAAGTAATCGATCTTCTTAAAGCTTTTGTGTGCACTCTGCACACCTATTTAATTTGTAGAATTATAGTCCGGTCATGACATTAGATACATAACCATCAATTTTCTCAGCTTTGTTGGCCTACTGAAGAAGACATACTCATAGTCTGTTAAACTAAAAATATTAGTTCTTCAAAGATCAGTAATTGTTTTTGGAGTATACATTTATTCAGCGATCCCTTTGTATTTACTTTTAATGTATACTTATCTCATTAGCAACCTATGTAATGGGTTATTTGATAGTTTGTTTGAACTGTTTGGAATGTTTCATTTGATGATGGGTAGAAACTGGGAGGGGATAGGGGCCATATCCAACCTCGTCCCCAGGGTGTCGAGCAGTGCGCGCCCACCACTACCTGCTCTCTCACCCTGGTATTGGATCATTTGCATGTGCAAGATTTTTGAACACATATGCAAATGAGGAACAGTCTGGTGCCTGGATATGCGTAACACATTAGCGTTTGTTTTTGTATGCGGTGTCTGGGGTAAAAACAGTCAATTCGTAGCAGCGCGAGCACGGCGTGAGTTACAAAAACACGATTTTTGAAATCAAACTGTTACGATCTTATCGAGACAACATGCAGTATCATATTTCATATTAATATGAGCAAATTGGAAAGGAAATTAGTATTTTTGAGAAGGCGTGGACGAATGATCGCAAAAACACGTACTGCACGTTGTGAATAATAGCACCAAGTACACGATAAAAATCCATTACTAACCAATTGCGGTATCCAATCAGGATACAGGTAGAAAGTTTCCTATCCAGGGTTTACTATTGGAAACGTGGTTGGAAATAAAGTAAGCATTGGGGACGAGGTTGGGGCCATATCCTAACTGTAACCCCCTACCCCTGATGTGTAGTTTTGTTTGAAGATTATTGCTGCAGTTTACGTGATTGTTAGTATTTAATTTGCGCACTGTTTGTTTGGAAGAGGAATACACAGTATATATATGTCTACATGTATTTAGCTGAAATAATGAAAACTGGTAAATAGAGAATTTTAAATATTGAATGACATATGTAAGTATGAAAGAAAAAAGTGTATGGTTACTGAACTTATACCGAATGTGAGGTCAAAAAGTAATATGCAATTTTTTTTTTAAGGAGAAAGGGGAACTCAGCGTTTGATTCCAAACTACAGTGAATAACTTCAGACAGTGTAAGTGATCAGGTATTATATAACTGACATACATATTCTTGTCATTTGATTGGTGGAACTCACATCATGTGACATTCATTATTGCTCCCATTCACACCGGGGCTCAAAAAGTCCCATTCGCCCATGGTGAGTGGGATTTACTATTCAACAGTTAGGATCATCCTTGCTCCATGGCGCGGTATTTGTGTGCAAATGTATGCTGGTTCCCAAGAGCCAGTAGCTACAGAGTTGTGTTCAAACTTTTCGTGAAGGGGTGGTTTGGAAGAGAGAAATACATTTCCAACCAATTTTGTATTGAAATAGAAGTTCATTTTAATTGTAAATCCAATGACAAGGATATAAAACAAAAATTGAGTGGCTTTATATTGTGAAATGGGAGGAATATTATCGCTCTGTAAAATCTGGACTTTTCCATTTTTCGCCTTGTGATATAGAAAAGTCCAGATTTTACCTTAAGATAATAATATTCCTCTCATTCCACTCTGAGCCACTCAATATTTGTATACTATTTCCCCCTTCCGATTTTGACAGAAATAACTGGTTGGTTTTATACTTATATTTCGTCACATGGACGATTATATGTTTGTGCTTTCAGGTGTAGAGCAACTAAATAAGTAATTTCAATGAGGTTTCAAATTAAAATTTGTGAATTCTGTGGCAGGAAATACAAAAGGGCCGGTAAAATGAACATCAATAAGGTTTCTGGATAAACTTGATAAAAAATAAGATAGCCAGATAACATTTTGTCCAACTTTTTTTTCTTCTCTTGTTTACACGCAAAACAAAAAATATACCCGTTCGTTTCTGAAAATATGAAATTATGAATCTGTATAATAATCTTTATGGGAGAAAGTTCACGCATTATTTTGAAATTAAAAAAAAATGTGATTATTTTGATTTATTAGTCGGATATGTGCAAGATATGTCTTTGCAGATGTGTCAAAGTGAGAACTTTTATTTTTATACATTGGATTGTCAAGTTGTGTTTTTAAAATAATGAATCCAGACTTTAAAATTTGTTTGCATCGGTCAGTATTGGCTTAAAATTCACAATCATTATTAATAAGATCATGCTGTCTTTATGTTTTCTGATCAAAATAGACTATTTTTCCGACATACTTTTCAAAAAAGATACTAATTACAAAATAAAAAGTTAAATAAAGTTTACTTGCATTCATGCTGTATGTTTTGTTTATTATTTTGGTATTGTTTATTAGTTATAGTTTTATAGTGATTCTCTCTTCAAAGACTTTTTAATATGTATTTTATCAACTTGTTAAACATAATTATTTGAATGTTAGTTTTCAACTTAAGTTCTCAGTAAAAATAAAAGAATAACGACCCATAACAAATTGTTCAATATATGATGAAACAGCAAATAAATGTCTGTACTGCTGAGGCATATTTAAACGTGGCAACGTTTGTCTTATTTTTTACCCGTAATTTCAATTTACTGGGTCGAGTTTTTAAATCCGACTTGTTTGACATTTTTATGCCATTGTGTTCTGTGGAATGTGGTTCAACCTACGCTCTCCCCCATTGAAAGAATCGGTTCACCCACTTTCACCGGGTGAATGCCAACCGACGACTGTTGCATATCGAAATCTGAAAATACATGAAATAGTTATAGAAAATCACTGTGATTCATCATAGGTGGAGTCCAACCTCGTCCTCAGGGTGTCGAGCAGTACGCGCCCACCAATACTTACTATTGGAAACGCGGTTGGAAATAAAATAAGCACTGGGGACGAGGTTGGGTGGAGTCAAAATAGAAAACGGGAAAAAAAACTAGCGACGAGTACATGTAGCGTATCCTTTTTCTGTCGACAAGATCTTAGATTCCGGCTCCAAAATGAACGAAGGCAGAGACTTGGCCAAAACTCACATCAATCCGTGTATTAAGTATACACTTTTCGTCCTCAACTTTTTATTATGGGTAAGTATTTTTTTTTAGAAACACTTAATTGAATGAATATAATTTATCGCCCACAGTCGGTGAAAGTTGATAATGATATTGTACATGTACTGCACTGATGACTGTAGGCCTACTACCGTGAATGTGGCTTGTAAACTACGCCACGTTCACGGGTCTAATATTGTACCAATTGTGGCCCACTTTCCGGACAGCCAATCTGTAGTCACAATTTGGAAAAAAAGAACATGAACATGATGAACATTGCTAATTGTTATTAAAATCTGTGGTTATGGGAGGTCATGAACCTACTTTTTAAAACTAAATTAGGAATGTTCCTCTAGCATATTTTCGTTTTATTTTTCAACATGCCAGGCCTTTTTCCCCCAGCTAGTTGGCACGTCCATTATTTAACTGAAACTCGTGTAATTTTAACTCTACATTATTACACATGGGTCTGGATGAACAGTATACTTTTAGATAGTGGATATTTTGCCGGAGGTAATGACGGCAAACTAACGGGCTGTACTCTTTAAGATAGGGCTGAATTATAAGATGTATTAAATTCCCACCAAAAGTTGTGTAGCATGTTTGGTGTAATGGTTAAGCAAAGGCTCTAGTGAGCGGGATGACTCGGGTTCGATCCCGATCCCCGCCACATTTAAAGTTTTTTTTCCCATCCCCAAATAAATAAGAATATTCTTCTTTTATTATTTTAACATGTCTCAAACATTTTATTGCAGAGTATTACATTTTCTTTTTCAGATTTGTGGCTCTGGAGGATTTTTTTTAAAAGGGGAAATAAAGTCCGAAATTATAAAATGGTCTGAATCCCATCTTGTGAATACGAGGTTACAACGATAATATTGGCATGGAGCCAGACTAAAATTTGTCACCGGAAAATGTTTAAGTACCAAAAAACAGTAACTGCGCATGTTCAGTGCATATCCGGCAAACTAACGTTTACTAAAGGTTTGCCGTCTCCGGCAAAATATCCACTGCCATACTTTTATATATCCTTGACAGCACCTGTACAAAATGTCATTGTTATGTTAGTTTTTTATTGCAATGCTGTGTCTGAAGATGAAACCTTTTGGAAAAAATGTTGCAACCTGACGCCACTTCAGCAGTTGTGTACAAACAATGGAGAAATTAAGTCTATGGAGAGTCAGGAAAATTTTCTAAGTATTTCCTAACCAAATTGGAAATATTTCTCAGTCCCAGATTCATGTCTTTTATTTTTGCAATGAATGACCTTCATTGAGATGATATATGAAGAAAAAAGTGGCGTCAGGTTGCAACATTTTTTCCAAACTTTTATTAAACTATTAAAAGGCACTTGCATTTATCCCTAAAGTAACCTAGCCAATTATTAATTTCAAAACACTGATTTGGATTAGAGATCGTACTGTTGGTACCGGTACTAAACATCCTGTGAAATTGTTCCGTCTGGCTTTAGACGAAATCAAGAAGTGTGGGTGATTTCCAACGATCAGTCAGTTGACAGACCATTGGAAATATAACAAAAATGTGCTTCATGATCAAAAGGTTGTGCATAGTTTTTCACTGTTTTTTCGAAAAAAGGCAATATCCACTGAGTTGAAGCTTCAACAGGTTAGGTTTTTACCATTCTTCTTTGGATTTTGAGTGGTGTTATTATTGGAAATGAACAAAATGAAGGAAAAGCAAACCATGATCCTAGTATAATGCCTTTCAACTAAGTAAATCTTTTTTTAGTATTCATAAAAAGGTGAAATTTGGCAACAATCTGGCTCTCCTAACTTAAGAAAGCTCAGTCGGTCCTTTTATTATTTCCAATCATTTTCAATTTCATACATGTATCTACTCCCCCATTTCAGGTGTTTTCTATCGTTCTCATCATCATCGGCATCTGGGCCTTGATTGAGAGACAGAACACCGTGCACATCCAGTCTTACCTGGACGTCTTCACCGAATCTTCAATCGTTCTCATCGTCGTGGGTAGTGTCTGCTTCATCCTGGGTTTCACTGGCTTCCTGGGAGCGCTCAGAGAAAACTGCTGTCTGCTGATGTTTGTAAGTTGGGTTTTTAGACCCAGCAACTGGGGCGCTAGAACTCCCCTTTTATTCGAATTTTGACTTTGGTCGGTCGTACAAGCGCCCCAGCGAAGTGAAGACATAAAATACACTGTAGGTTGTCTGTATTTTCACAAACATCAAGCTAAAAAAAGTTGCCAAAATCACGGCAAAGACTTGACAAAAATACCTTAAAGCGCTTACTATACTGGCTTCTCAACATGTCAAGATTTTAATCATTCTCACTGAATTGATGCTATTATATCAGTTGAGCAAACAACCGTCTTTACTTTCAAAGGCCCTATTCTCAAAAACACCATTTGCATGGCGCCCCTATTATTTTTACGTTTGTTTGTAAAAATACGGTTGTCCAGTTATAACATGTTCTGCCACACGTGATGTTTAGTATAAGACTGCAAAGCTTCCTGAAATCCGTGAAAATCATACCATTTACTGCTTATCATTTTCATCATCACAACTTAACCCTAAAAGGGCCGAGGGGGGGGGGGGCGCCCCTCGACTTTTCCCGTGATAGCCGTACAAAAAACAAAAAAAAATTTGCGACCGGAGCTGTTATGACTATTTAGCCTCGAGCCTTGCGCATCTTTTGATACCAAAAATATAAAAATCGGACCGAGGGTTGCCGCGCAGCGAAAGATTTTCCGGCGCTATGCGCCGTGAAAGCTGAATGTTCCCATATTCGTTGTGTATACAGAGCAGAATTACCATTCGTACATATGAATAATTAATTAGCCATAATTCCATAACCCTTTGACCTATAGTCATGAAATTTCTTGGGTATGTTCATGATGAGTTGCTCTATGCATACCGAGTTTCAAATCATCATTGAATTGTTCATACTGCTTTTTTAATGATTTGTATATTTATTTTTCGTTTAATTTTGCAGTTCTATTTGTTCATGTTCCTTATCTTCATACTTGAAGTAGTGGCAGGAATCCTGGCATTTGTCTACAGTGGCAGTGTGAGTTTTCATTACTTTTCCACATTAATGCTTGACTGTACCGGGTGAGTAAAAATCCTCCGCACTGCTCTAGGATGTCACTGCCTCTGCCTCAGCCTATTGACAGTCATAGCCGGAGGATTTTGCAGGATTCAGGCAGTGGTCACCCCTCCATGGACCATATTCAAGAAATAATGGAGGAATTTGCAGGATTGAGACTATATGCTATTTTTCCATGAGGCCAATTGGAGGATTTTGCAGGATTGAGGCTACATCCTAGCAAAAAGGCCTAGGGAGTTAGGGTTAAAAAATGTGTAGCACCAAAAATAATAATTGAATGGAAAGCTATTTTCATAAGCTACTTTTTGATGCAAAAAAAATTACTGAAATTGAACAAACCGTTCAAAGAATATCACCATTTAAACACAATGACCCTAAACCTGTCTCATCCAAAAAAAACAATTTATTGTGTGTTTTTACTGTTTTGGAACAATGAAGGAAATGACACAGAATATTTGTTTCAACAACTGTCACCAACTGTAGTACACAATATCTTTATTAACAACCCTGGTTAGGCAAACAATATGATTTATAAAATCTACTCTTTAAAGGACAGGCTTTCAAAGGGATTCTGTTGAATATTTTTAACGTTTAAACTGAGATTTTATCCCTGGTGATGTTTGGAGACAATTGCGACGACGATTCTTGAAATATCGCATTTCTTTGGACGAGACAAGTTTTTGGGTCATTGTGTTTAAATAGTGCTTTTTTTTTCGGAACGGATTGACTAATTTCAGTCATTTTTTTCATCTAAAAGTACCTTATGAAATGGCTTTCCAGTCATTATTTTTGGTGCTACATATTTTTTTAAATATGAAACATAATTTTGGGGTTTGGGTTCCGCTATTTTTGACTCATCCTGTACATGTATTAGTTTCCTTTTTTGCAGGTGGATGGATGGTTAGGCATCCCCAAACCCCCCCCCCCCCCCACCAAAAAAAGAAAAGAAAAAAAGAAATACAGTGTATATCCATTGGGAAAAAAGTGAGAAAAAAATTGCACGTTTATCAAAGTTTAAAGAATAAAAACAATATAGCAGCTGTCTAACATTCATTTTTCACTTTGTTATCTGCTTATTAAATTGTGTTGAACTTTATCAAACCAGGCAGCCAGGAGACAGCAGAATTCTAAGCGGTAACAAAATGGCGTTTTTCGCGTTTGTTGGAAATTGCTTCATATTCTCCTTATGTTAATGTTTTACCTTTTTCAGTTTTATACAACTGTGGATGAGATCGTGGAGCGCTCCATCGCTCAGTACAGGACGGACTTGGATTTGACCAATTTCATCGACTTTGCTCAAAGAACGGTAAGACCACTGTAGACAGACATTGTGGATTTTTCTAGAATAGAGAAATGTACACAAAGTTTTGGGTCAGACTTTAGGGTGCAAGGTTTTCTGTACTTGCCTCTTGGGCTTGTAAACCATTCCTTACTGGCCCAAGCAGGTTTTGAGTTGTTTTTTTTTGTTTAAACAAGATTTTTTTAAAAAAAAAGAGGAAATTTTCAACTTAAAATATTTTCAACATTTAGTTTGCTATTCCGTCTTCTCCACAAATTTGCCCTTGTCTTTGTATATTTGTTCTTGTATATGTGAGTAAGATTTGAGGCTTTGCATGGTGGATATACTAAAAAAAGAAAGGTTTGCGGAAACACCATGTGCGAATAATTTCTCAACTAAGAGAATGGTTCTGAAAAGAACCAGAGGTATAAACTCGACGTTCCGGTCAGTATGCTCATTACAATTCATATGCCATTTTCAATGTATGTCAGTACACAATTTAAGGGGATCTTCGGTTACAAGCTTTGCTTTCTTCGAAACCTCCTCCACTTGTTGCTTAAAGGGAATATACATCATTTGCTTTTGCTGTAATTTTCAGAAATGGATGGGATTGGGGGGT